TCCCCCCCCCCGTTCCTGCGGCGAGGCCTGAGCAGCTTCCAACCATCAGCCCACCGCAGAGTTCCCAGAGCATTCCCTGTGCATGTGCAGGGAACGCTCTTTTGCTTTTGGGGGGGATTTAAATATCCCCCCTATATTTTTTCTACTTTTTAGATTTTTGTGCACACCTGGAGACTGCCCCAAGTGTGCAGGAAAATCTCCCTGCCCCACAGGTGCCCTCGATGTGTGGATTTAGATATCCGCACGCAGGGGGCGCCTTCGCTATTAGAAAAATAGATTTTTGTCCCTTTCTCCTCTCACATTATTTTGTCCCTTTCTCCTCTCACCCACCCTACTGTGATGCTGGGACCAGCATCAACCTGTGAGTATCGATTTGTATTAATTACTGTACATTAAGGACTACTTAGTCCGGTGGTTTCTATCTAGAGGCTAAATTCAAAGCCTATGTTTTTAGTTTATATTTTCAGTGCGCAGTACAATACATTTATTTTGTCTAATTCATTTTTAACATTGTTCTTCATGGTACCTAATTCAATTTTTGGGTTGGGTTTGTATCCCCCTCCCCTTTTGTATTAGTCTTCAGAACAGGCCATGCCTTGCCCCTTACCTGGCCATCAGAATATTAATCAAGGCCTCACAGTGATTAATCAACACAGCTTTAGCCAGAAAAGAATCACAGAATGACAGAAGCATGGAGTTAGGAGGGACCTCCAGGGAAACTCACAATGTAGGAAACTCACAAATACCACTCCCCAAAGTGCTATTCTCTGCCAAGAAAAAAGCATCCTTTGTATATTCATTTCCTAAGGAAGGTTGTCACTTCAGATTGATCTAATTTGGAATATATGGAGGTTGTCCAAAGCCACACATTATCCAATAGCCCAAGTTAGCCCCCTCAATGGCTTCCCTCTGCCTACATTTTACTCCATGTGAAAATGTTTCCCCCTCAATGGCTTCCCTCTGCCTACATTTTACTCCATGTGAAAATGTTTTTCAAGCTCTAAAATGGTCACTCCTCCCATTCAACAGTCTCAGGTGGAACATGTGAATGCCTTGCCCCTTAGGTTACGTGCCACTTCGTTTCAGAGTTAAATCCAAGGTGCAGATTACAGCCTTTAGAGCCCTTTGTGGCTTTGGCGCCACCTAGCTGCAGGGCCGTTTCTGACTATATCCCCAAGAGCCAACTATGGTCCTCTAGCTGTCACTTTCTGGTTGTCCGGCTTCTTAAGGTTGCCAGCCTGGCATCTACTTTTCAAAGGTGGCTCCCTGAGGAGGTAGAGAAGGGCACTTTAGAAGTTCTTTCAAGGCACTTTAAGCCTGCTTTATTTACTAGGGCTTTTAATTGGGTTTGACCTGCAGGCATTTTGAGGAAGGTGGTTAATGGAGTTTGTTTTTCATTTAAAACTGTTACGCCACCTTTAGCCACAAGAGAAAGGTGGGGTATACATACTTTAATAAATGTGTGTAACAGTCATGGTTGAAGCAAAAACTTGCACCTTTGAGGCCTGTAAACAAAAGGGAAAGGACCAGAAGATGTTCACATGTGGCTTAGTGCTATATACACAAACAAATATTTCTTTAGATCCAAGCCTGATGACGATTAGCCAGCAGCATGTTAATTCGTAACAGCAGACAACAAAGAGCATCCAAAAGCCACCACTTCAAGACAAAGCAAGGAATAAACATTCACACAAGAAAATCCCCATCACTCAGGGAGGTGAAATGGCTTATAAACCTCTGGATCTGCAGCACTCTCTCTGAGGGAAAAGACGGGGTGGGGGGGCAGGCGGGATTTGATCTATTCACAAGTCTCCTGTACCTATGCATGTTTCCTTGGCTGTAATCTTGTGCACACTGCCAAGTATTAATCCTATTTAAACCAGTGGGATTTACTTGAAATTAAACATGCATCGGTACAGGGGGCCTGTGTCAGTATAGGCAAAGAGTCTCTTCGGATTTTGAGAAGAAAAGGAAAATAGTTTCTCTGAAGTTACTTCAAGGTAAAAAGCACTGAATACTTTCCCTTCTTTTCATCTATTTCTTCCTTTAATCCTCTAAACCCAGAACAGTTGTTTTTATACTATTGTTTTTAAGGGTTCTCTGTTACTGTTCTTATTGCTATTATTGAAAAGTTTTATTAGTAGTATTCGAAAAGGGCTTTAAAAAAAAAAATCAATAGGTGACAGACAGGTGAGATAGTAAAGAATTGATAACTTCTGTGGACTGGTGTGAAAAATTAAAGTAAAATCCTTTCCCTAACACCACCAACTACCTCAGGGGGCACCATCTTCCAAGTTTTTAAGGAGGCACTGTAAATCCATGTTACTTGCCTGGGCTTTAATGGGGTTTAAGCTGCAAGCATTTTCTTGGGAGAGGGAAGATGAACGGGGTTGACTGTATTTTGTATGTTTTTGATTTTTGGAATTGTGCGCTGCCTTGAGCTACAAAGATGGGTGTTAAACGGTTTAATAAACAGCCAAACTTGGGGGGAGGGGACCCTGACCTTAACTGGCCTGACAAAGACCCACAAGTTAAATTTCTTTTCAGCACCATCCCCTGATGCTCCCTCGAGCAATGCCTGTTGCTAATATCTTAGAAGAAGGAGATGCAGGGTAGGGTTTGGGGCTGGTATGTCACTTTCTGATTGCAGTGTCAGCTAAGATCAAATCACGTTACACCCTCTCAAACGCAAAGCCTTCAATGATGCAAAAGCATATCCGTAGCAACAGTCTGAGAACGGGCAATGAATGCAACAGTGAATGCAAGAGAGTGACGTTTTCCCCCACCACAATGTTCAGCAACTCCTTTTTTTTAAAAAAAGATTCTGCTGCAGCACAGCGGTGCTTTCATATCCAGAAGAATGGAGACATTCGAGTAAGGAAGGTGCAATCACCAGTAACCAAGTCAACCAGCAGAAGATACTGAAACCAAATTGGGTCTTGCACACCGTTTTGGATAGAAAAGCCCATTCTGCCAGGGGCACTGTGAGAACGGAAAAAACAATAGTTCTGCATCACAAGGATAACAAAACAAAGCTGCCTGATGGTGGATGCCCTCGCTTGGAATAGAAAGAAAGCCAAATGTTTGCTTTTCTGCTGTCAGTTGGTGAGCAGAGAGTTCTTTCCTTTCTTCCCAAGTCTCATTTAGTAGGGAAGGGTCGGAAAGTAACGTTCCTTATCGCCACATGGAAGCTGCCACTTCATAATGAACGGGTACAGCGTGTTCATTAGCATCCTGTAGAGGGCAGTCGTGCAGCATCGAATGAATCCTGCTGAGGCTTTTAAGTGATCATCGCAGGACAGAGTTGTGTTAAACCAACACCAATAGAAGTGCTGAAGTTTTAACAGAAGAACAAAAATGATAACATCGCTTCCAAGCCGAACCTGGTCATTTTCTCCAGCCTTGTTTATTGCAAGCTATTTGTGTAAAAGCATAAAGGCACTGCAGAGACCATGGCCATGTCAGCCTCGACATTTTGCTGCGCTCAAGCACTTTGTGTCTTTAAATTAAACCCAATTGCTAATTAATGAATGTTTACTACCTTTTGAGAGAGAGAGAGAGAGAGA